ACAAATAGAAAAAGAGCATACTTAATGAGAAATCGGAGATCGGAGAGATGAGAATGAGATATCGGAAATGATCGGCGGCGACTCTCGAGCCGTGAATATCACCGACACCGTTATTCGCGATTCGGATTTCCAAATTCTTCCACGCGCCTGCACGCTGTCCGATTATTTTTCCGCAACTTTCACGAGGAGTGGATCAATAATCGGAGCGCGATGTCGTGTTACGAAACGACCGGTTCGATCCGAGCGTCGCGTATATCAAGCGCCGCGGGGCCGCATAACGCGTCGTTTGGAAATAACGACGCGCGACTGGGATAATCCTTATCTTCCATTACGAGATCTACGTTAAATTTATACCGACAACGGGAATCACGACTTTGTCCTATGTCGTAAACCCTGACAGACAGTCCTTCTTCCTCGACGCGCGCGCGTGCGAGCGCAGCGCACAATCGCCTTTCCACCACGGCGGACTCGAATCGAGCACTCGACTGACTGGCCGACGACTCATCTCGTCTCTCCGCGGAGAGACTTTGCTCGAAGAGGCACTGAAATTTATATTTACGCGGCTCCTTTCGAGCGTGATGGCTCACCCTCTCGTCGCGTTCACCTCGTTCTCCCATCGACTGTTTTGTTGAAAGTATCAATACAAAACGAAAAGATATTACCAGAGACAATTCGAGCCGAGCTAAACAAACTCAGATTGTACGCGACGAATTAACTGCTCGGATGCTTATAGCAGATTTTTTCAATCTCTCGTTTATATCGAGCGAGCCCGGAGTTGAGTTCAACGAGATTACATTCTGCGATCGTAGATCGAAACGGCGCATACACGTCACTTTGTGTAACGTGAAAATAATATCATTTTCGATATAACATCATTTTATTTCGCCCGAAAAATCTGACATTACTACGTCACGCTAGCCGGTAAGGGGATACTGACATTGAACATAACTATAATAAATAAATAAAATAACAAAAACATAAAATGTAAGATATAAAATAAATAATTAAATAACTATAAATTTTACAAAGCTGAAGTAGCTACCCTTTCCTCTCAGCGTTTCGATTAGAAACTGAAAGAAAATCTATATTCGTACAACCATGTTTAACTTTCGTTCGTTTTCAACCAGGGAGTTTGGTCTTTCCTCGACCGAATCTTGATATCGAAACAAACTCGGTAATAAGAAGTCGGCCGTAAGGCCGACCAAGCCAGTTCAGTTTTCTATTCCAAATGTCGATCGTTTGTTCTACGATTTTTCTTTGCGCAACGAGGCACCTGACGAGGCAACTGCGAGCCTCGGTTCTCTCCTCAGCGCAACGAGCGCGAGCTCGCGAGAACGAATCGCTTCTCCGCGCTCTCGGCGCGAAGACGCTCCTGCGGCTGAAATTATCGCCGTTTTCCGCGCGATACGCCAAATACGAGCTCGATGCGACCCGTTCCTTCCCCTCGAGAGCTGTTGCGCGACGCTCGCGGATGGCTCGCGCCTGCGAAAGCGGCCGCGCGCGGACGGTCGCCCGCTAAATTGCAATGTTGTAAGACGCGTGTAAAAAGAATCGCGGCCGTCTGTAAAATCATCGCGAGTGGCGACCCCTGACATTAGCGTGTTTTGCCTGCCGCGAGAATATCAGGCGAAATCAGCGTCAATCGGCCGAAGACGCGCGCGACGTGGGCAAGGACGCGGGCTACGATATCGGCTCGTTTTATTCAAATTTCATAGCTGTCTCATTCCCTCGGCTGCCCCCCCCCGCTGCCCGCGGCGATAAATATCACTCGAAGCGGCTCATCCTTGCCAAGCCATTGCCCGAAAGATAAAGTCACCGCGCGAAAATCCGATAAGCCCGCAGCCGGCTCCGGTCGCAAATTACATATTTTGCATACGTATAATCGGCTCCGGCTCGAGGGGGAAAAAATGCGGAAGCGGCGCCGTGTTCGTGTTTCGACAACGTAACATTGCGCAACGGAAGAGATTCTGGGCGGATTCAGTCGCGTTGTTGAGTCTCGACGGGTTTCTCGTCTGGTTTCCCGCATAATGTATGGATTTTCGCGCGATGAAATTTCCCGCACCCTTTGCTACGCCCTTCGCTCTTGGTTCGATTTTGTTTTTTGATGGGACGAGTGCCAAATTGAAATTTCCGTCGTTTCTTCTCGAGCTTGCCGAATATGGAATTTCGAATGTAATGTAAATTTCCTGTTGTCCGATATGCAATCCGAGAGACAGAGAGAGAGAGAGAGAGAGAGAGAGAGAGAGGGGGGAGGAGGAAGAGAGAGAGGAGCGCTCCTCGGGCATTTGAAATTCGCGCAAAAGCGCGCGCGGCATTGGTGTGTGTGTGTGTGTGTGGCAATAACGGCGAAATGTGGGTTGCGAGTGGCGGTGTGCGATGAGTCGGCTCGAAAAATTGACTCGAGCGCAGAGGCGCGGGAGGGACGAAGCGGCGGATAAAGGAGGAGAGAATAAAGGAGGAGAGAAAGAACAGAGACGTGTCGAGGAGATCGCGCGAGCGCGGAATATAAAACGTTATGTCACAGCGACGGGAGACGCTCCTTGTAGCGTGGCGGCGGCGGCGGCGGCCAGGCGATACGTGCGCACGTGTGTTTCGTAACGCGGCGTTAGGCGCTCATAATGAGACACACGTCGTAAATCGTCGACGGGGAGAGGCATACCTGCATAAATACCGGGAAAAAGTATAAGACCGTTGACATTTAAAGCGGACGATAATGACGCGCCGCCGTCGCCGCCGATTACAGATTCCCCGGCCGCGGGAGTCAAACGCGGGAGAAGCGCGGGAGTCACGCCGAGAGAGAGAGAGAGAGAGAGAGAGAGAGAGAGAGAGAGAGAGACGGAACGGCGTATGTCCGCGCTCATGAGGCGCGCGAGGTTCGTGAAAGACGCGGGAAACCGTGCAAATTGCGAAACGCGCGCCGCTGCGGTGCGCGAGATGCCTGTTGATTGAATTGTTACAGCCGGCGCCGGAGATTTTCAAAAGCCACTCCGCTGTTGAATTGTCGCGGGATTTTTCGCTCCTCGAGAGGCGAGGGAAGTGTTGGTCCTCTAGAAAGAAGTGTCCCGACATGTTTGTCTCACTCGTAGAAAAAATATCGATCAATCGATGATCTGACGAACGATTCGTAGGAAATGTCTATCCTTCGGAATGGGATAACTTCGTTCTCCCATTTTATTCGCTTCGTCTTTGTCTCCTTCCGCTTTTTCGTGGACAATTCTCGGCGTCCTCTTTGCCTGCCGAATTCGCCGAATCGATTTGATTTATCGCTCATGATTTATTTCTCTTCAGCGCGTAACGCGTTTGAAAATCCACATCGACCGGGAGAAATGGCCGCGCCAAGTTTTCACTCGCTTTTCTCACTACATATGTACATTCATATCGTTCGGGGAAACTTCTGAAACACGCGATACAAACACGCTTGGCACGCTTTCTATTGCTGTTACTTACATGAGCGTAACTTCTACTTCTGTACAGCGCGTATTACAAACGTGTACTTTGCAGCACGAGAGATGCGAGAGAATCAAGGGGAGTAATTTGATATCTCATTATTTCACGCAATGTATCAGATAATAATAAGGAAGAGGCGAATGCTATTTTCCGAATAGAACCAAGACGCTCTGTTGTCATGGGGATTAAATTTTTCACAGCCGGAAACAACGGACTGTCTGAATTTGAATTTGAAGCAGGAAAATTTCGTACGCTCAAGTTCTCAAGCGTCTCGAATCGTCAAAAATATTTGAGTTTCTTCTCTTGCAGACCTTCCTCGTCTATCTATTTCTTGTCTACCGTGTGTTTAGCTATGACGGATTTAGCGTTGTGACAACTGAGAGAGGAGGAGATGGGGGAGGGAACTTATTCACAATTTCATACGTTACCAACTAGGTTACTCAAGTGCGACGTGACGTCGATGGTTGACGAGGAATCGAGGCGGGGAATTTTTCATACGACGATTCGTTCGACCTTTCGCGCGGTTTTTTGCGCTCATCGTGCGCTCCAACTGGAGACGGCCGACTTTACTCAGACACGTTCTCGTTCTCGCGGCGTGCCGAGCTCCACGGCTTACTTCATCTCAACAGCTGTTTGACCCCTGAACTATTAGCCACGGGTGAATCGAATCGAGAGCCTGTTAACAACGAAAAGGAAAAAAAGCAGCGGAGAGGGACGAGCGATTGCGAGGCTCGATATAATCAACGATTTACCGTTCTTTCTGCAGAAGCCCGAGTGACAACTGCATGAATAATGCGACGATGATGGAGAGGCTAATATTTTTATTCGCATTTATCGAGATACGCGGCAATACAATATAGACACAACGCTACTTACGTTACTCTCGCGTTAGACCCTCGAGTCTCTCGCTCGCGCTCGTGTGGAACACCGACATCGGGATGTATCATTTCAATCTGTCTGCTTCTCTCAGCGCCGCGAGAGGATAAGGACGCGGTGCATCGAACGGGGATGCAAAACTTCTCGACACGGTACTACTCTTTTTCTACAAACCTCCCGTCGTACGGGTTGCGCACACAATTGAAAGCGCCGCAACGTCGTGTAAATGCGTGCAAAAGTGCGTTGGAGCATCGGCTGAGTATCGGCGGAAACAATAAAAAATTTCAAAACTCGCATCACGAGCTGTCTACGTCGAACGAACAATGTTAATTTTCTCAGCAAAATTTCCAGACGTCCTTTTGTTCTTTTTAGCTCATGGCGATATAAAGTCAACCCCTATCACATTATCGATTCTATTTATCGCCTGGTTTGCTTAATTCTCTAATGGGCTAAATCGTTCGTATTGCACAATTAGATGAACCTTTGGTGGTCGAAAAAGACCCGAATATCATGCTGATAGCTACATTTCTTCTTATTTGATCAACCCTCAATCGTTGACTAAACATTTCGCAGACGCGAAATTCGCACAAAAAGAACCGACTTGATTATCCTTCAATTTCGCTCAATTTGCACGAAGCTCGATTGTCCCAACGCATTAATCCCATGTTACTTCGCAGGGCCGAAGCAGTTCAACTTCCGCGGTCACAACTATTTCTACAGCGGACACGTGCCGGCCCACGCCAATCAGAAGGTCGACTGGCTGGACGCCAGGAACGTTTGCAGAGAGTACTGCATGGACCTTATCTCGATAGAGACCCAAGAAGAGAACAACATGATCTTCAAGCTCATCCAGCAGAGTGAGTAGCTCTCTCACGAAACTCTCGCCGGCGAATAAACGCATCGTTTCACCGTGAATCATTCTTATTGTCGCAACTGCGAGTACAAGACACGATCGGAGAACGAAGTCGACCCCGTTCTCGTTCATGAATAAAGAACAGCGCATGTGTGCGCGTGAGCGTCGTGCTCGCAGCCGCGATAATCCTCGCGGGGGGAAAAAAAGGGAACACGCCGGAAAGTGTGACTTTTCCATTCGGAACGCGACATCCCGTTGAATCCGCCGACTTGTCGCCGTTGTCGCCGTCAGTGCAAGTGTCGGACGCTCGGTGGGAGGAAAGTTGCGACACTTTTACCTCGATGAATTTCAAAACGCAGCCGGCAAAAACGTATTCAGCGGGAGAGCTTGTTTTCTCATTATTCTCGGAAGAGATACACTCTCTCATCGGATCTCGGACCGGACGCGTTCTGAAATTCATCGAGGTAAAAGTGTTGCAGCAACCTTCCCTCCGTCGGTCGTAAATCTCTCAACGGCTTATTCGGCATTCAATTACGAAAGAAGCATCGCCGCCGCCGCCGCTGCCGCCGCGCCGTCGGGAGCTGGAATCAAAACAAATGTTGCCGTGCACTCTCGAATTATCGGAAGGATAATAACTTTAAGGCGAGGGTACACGGGAAGCGATGGATCGCCCGACTCGGCAAAATGGAGCCTTACTTCGTTTTCGCGCTCGGCTGTAACATTGTCGTTCTTCGTTACAGTAACAAATTTATCTTCCGCGTGTCAGACACTGGTTATGCCCGAAAGTTCCTCGGTAGAGTCGATCGATTGTTTCAGAGCACTCTTCCCTTTTTCATTTAACTCCGCAATCGCACCGAGCCACAAATTATTCAAAGCACGATATTGAACAAACGAGCTTTCTTGCTCGCCGACCAATTCGGCCGCAGCGTGTCTGACGATGACGCACACGCCGAATGTTTTGATTTACGCGGTCACCGCGGAATTGCATAATTAGTATAAATTGATGTACGAGTCCCGGGCGGGCGAGCTTCTTCCGGCCGCGCGTCCGATAACGCGCGACCTATCGAGCAACTCGATCTCACTCGATCTCTTATCTCGCGCGTGTGATTTACCGGCGCGTCGGGATGCGAGCCGACGGGCGACCGAGTTCGACCCTCGATCGCAGGCTCGACCCTTCTGGCGATCCTGCTGGACGCGCGCGAAGCTCGCTAGTGTCGGAAAGTTTCAGCACAATGCGCCGCGCCGGTAGCGGCTCGTTAATATCGACACCGGCGATTTGCCGCGCGGCAACTTTCATCCGCAGGTGCGCAGGCGCGCGCGAGCGCGGGATAATCATTCGGTAATTTCGAAACGCGAGCCGACCCGTCGAGCGACGGTGGTACGCCACTTCGCCTCCTTGATTCGGATGATTAACGACGCCGCTTTCCTCTCCTCTCCTCTCCTCTCCTCTCCTCTCCGCGAAGGAGAGCCCTCCAGCCGCCTTCTTCTCCGCGCGCGTCTCCCGGAGACCTTTCGGCTGCAGCGCGACGCTCTCGAGTGCACTCGAGGAACTGTTCAGCGCAAAGGGTCTTCTGCGCGGAACTTATCCGGCTTTACGATCCGGCCTCCACCGCTCTCGCTCCTCTCGTGTTCTTCTCTTCTCACATTAGCGGAAAGTCGTAAACGCGCGTGTATGACGATGTGTAAGACGCGACGGAGATCGCCGCGCCGCGTGCATCGGAAGAAGAAAACGTCTGGATCGACGAGACTGCCGGTTCTCCGCTTTGCTTCAGGAAATATGAACAAATTCCTACTCTCTGAAAGTGAATCAGTGAAACTCACTGTCATACCACTCAACTTTTCAGTGGTATACTTAGCACTGACAATCAGTGCATAATCGCTGATTGACAGTGAGTTCCACTGATTCACTTTTAGAGAGTAATATTTGCGTAATAATATCTCGAAAGCTGGTTTCTCGAAATCTACGTTCGTTCAAGTTGAGAGTGCAATATTTCACAGATACATGATTCGGATAAGTACAAAAAACCCAAAATTTTTCCAATATTCTTCCGGCCTCCATTTTATGTTATAAAATTCGATTTCCTACTGTTTTTTTTTTTTTTTTTATTGAGCATGATAGTTGAAGCGCAAAAATGGAATTTTCTCTTTAAGAATGAGAACCAAATGATTTTCGCGTCATTTTATCCCGCGCCACGATTCTGAAAAAAGACTCGATCGAGATTAAAGATTATCTCCGACAGACGCTTCGTCGTTTCGACACGCCGCCGCGCCGAATTGACACTAATTAATGCAAGAGCGGTGTTAGTTAACCAATACCGCAGACAAACGAAACATCGGTGTCAATCATGCGGTTGCACGCGAGTCCAAAATTGATAATCGCGCATCACTGTGAATCCGCGAACTGATGAATCCGTCAGATTTCGCTGTCGCTTTAATCGCAATTATCGCGCACGATCGTGACGACAGTCGCTCGCCGCGAGAACGACTCTCTCGGTCACGACGAAGAGGCCGGGCTACGGAGGCGAGTCGGTCGAGCTGTTTTCAAGGTAAATGCGGGGGTCTTAAAGTGGGTTGAGGCTAGAAAGTATCATCTTTTTATATCGCGCGCTGCAATGTATCTTTTTGCACGGACGATCAGGCGAAAGTAAGTTGAAAGACGTTGCCGCGAGTCGATTTCGTTCAGTACTTTTGTCAGGTCGCGGAAAACACTATTTATAATTCAGGTTAGCCGGATATCTTCGGTACCTCACGCGGATAGCCGAAAATCTCTCATTTATGTACTTTATAAATGAAAACCAAGAGAAAAAAAATATCGGCAACACTTTGAAATTGCTGCTCAGAGTCGCGTGTATTTGAAATAATTAAATTTCTATCTAAAATCTACCTAGACGGGAAATCGCACCGAAAGCCCCAATTAGACCCCAAAACATTTTCCATGCGACTCTTCTTTTCCCGAGAGCTCGGTTGCTCCAGGAAAATTCATAACACCGTCGATAAGCTCGACAAGTCCTTCTTATACGGAACCTGTCTTCCAGACGACGTGCCGTACATCTGGACATCCGGACGACTCTGCGACTTCAAGGGCTGCGAGAACCGACGTGATCTCGAGCCCAAGTCCGTCTACGGCTGGTTCTGGTCAGCCAATCGCGAGAAGATGGCACCCACCAGCCAGGCGCCGAACGGCTGGGGCTTCAACCCGTGGTCGCGGACCGGCCACAAGAAGGTCAAGCAGCCGGACAACGCCGAATTCGACATCAACGGCACCAACGAGTCCTGCATGTCCGTCCTGAACAACGTCTACAACGACGGCATCGCCTGGCACGACGTCGCGTGCTACCATGAAAAGCCGTTCGTCTGCGAGGACTCCGAGGAGTTGCTCAACTATATCGCCAGCACCAACCGCGGCATCCGCCTCTGATGGGATCGCGGTCAGCCTCGACTCGCGCTGATCGTTCATCAGCGTCACATCAGCACCCACTCCTTCTCTCCTCTCTTTCTCTCTCTCTCCCTCTCTCTTGCTCTTTTTCTCTCTGTCTCTCTCTCTCTCTCTCTCTCTCTCTCTACTTCTTTCTCCCTCCCTTCCTGCCTCTTTCTCTCTATCTCTCTTTCTCTACACCTTCCATCGCGGAGCCGACGAGACACGTGCCAAAGGGGGAGGGGGCGGGCGATCGTGTCATCCCTTGATGATCACGGGGACCTTCGAGTGCGACCCCACTGGACGTCACAAGAGATCGTCATTGATAATAGAATTGTGACTTGTAGCACAAGAGAACCGTGCAGCGACGTGTTTTGCCACGGAGGAGAACGATCGGTTGAATTGGCGCGGCAATTGGAGCGTACGCGACGCGCGGTCTGCTGCGACGGAAACGGAATTTCTGCTTCCTGCGAACGAGACTCGGCTCCGAATCGGCTTCGCGTCTGGTTCGTCCGTTGTCGCGGCGTCGCAACCGATCCTTGCTTCTCCGTGAGGCAAATTTTGCAGAATTCCGCTTGAACATCTGTTGGAGCGATTAACGTTATTATTATCACAGCCAATCAACGTATTGATTAAATTCTATAAATTTTCCGTTTCCCTGAGCCCTTCGTCCTGCGCGAGAATGACGTTTTAATGCGTGCGACTTGCGTCAAATTTCTGTCTAATGCTATCATATCGGAGAATTGTCCAGCGATTCTACGGAGGATCACACCAGGTTCAGGTGCGAAATTGGTGCTTCGATTACTCGACGTCTCCGACATCGCCTAACAATCAAAAGCAACGTTCCGAAAGAATTTCCAAGACACAACACGTCAAAAATCCTTCAGAGAAAAATAAGCGTCGCTCGTGCGAACGATTCGGCTTCTTTGTCGATCGACCTTGCGTTCGACCACGTCATTCGACTATTTCAGCCTAAAGCGTAACAATAATCTCGTTTATTCCGTATAGCGATCGAAAACCAGCAGAAGAGTTCATGATACAAATAAAAAGAAGGAGAAGGATTAGTGTATTCACATCGATCGGAGAAGAGTGATCGAACGTGCCTCGTCGCTGCGCTCTGCCTGCACTCACCGCATCGAGGAAACTCCGCAGTAATTTTGTATCTCGAATTTAATTTGCAATCGCAATATCCGCTGACGAGTAATTAATTGTGTACATGTATTTATTGATAGGCATTTGGCTGGCGGTCTCTGTACATTTACGAATAAAACGTTAATCTTACATAAGCCTCCCAGCGACTTGTTCAGTCGATATTACAACATTTCCTACGTCTTTGCCCGCACTCGAAGACACACGCAATCTGCTCTACGCATCGAGTCATTCCTCGGATTTACATCGCACCATCGCAGACGAATTTGATAACGCAACGTCTGTCTCGCAGCGAGCTCGAAAACGGCTGCGTTAGAATGCCGAGAACGATCGTACGCGCGGTTCCTTTCGACGATTCTAATTATTTTTATCGCTGCCGAGGTTTCCACTCGAGATCTGTTCGAACGAACGCGCTCGAGCTATTTGAGCGAGAAGCTTTGCTTTTTTTCTCTTTCAGGGAGCATGATGCGTTCGGAGATATGTAGGGAATCTTTCTTACAGGACGTCATACATATATAATTCTTGCGGAAATATACGTGTATGTGTGCTACAGAAGTATGTACATACAACGGGCCATGCTCTCTAAATTTCTTCGAGTGAAATCCCGCTCGTAAAGTAAAGGATAACGGCCGAGTCGTTCAAATATGCTCAAATATTCTCCATTCTGTATCGCCGGATGGATGTTTCCGTCGAAAACTGAAGAGCGAGCTTGAAATTAAAGAATCTCAGGTACGTATTTCACCGTTGAGAGGGCAAATTCACTCGAATCGATATATATATATATATATATATATTAGGTACGTATTGGGAGAAGTTTGAGCGAAAATTGATTTATTCTCGCGAGGTCTTGAGGTATTTTGAGCGTCGCTTCGAGTGAATCTGCACTCGCCCTGAGTGTGATTTCACTCGAAAAGAATCGGGCAATATTTCAGGAATTTTTCGTTGAACGTGGCGCCGGAGGTATATTCCGTATTGTCGGTACGAACTTGATCGTATCTCGTGTTATCAGTGGCAGTAAATTCTCAAAGAATACTCGAGGCGAGTGTTCAGTTGCTGGTAAATGGATTCCATTCGCCGACCGTGAGCGTTCCCTGCGCGGCTGGCGTCGGTATACTTGAGTGAAAGGATTGAATCGACCGACGATAGCGCGCTGCGCGAGAAGGCTCTCCGCTGGTTCTACAAGTCGTCATCGCCGCGCTATCAGTGTCGCCGATAAAACTGTGCCGATAATAGAAAATAATACTACCGCGGTAACAATAGAAAATACTGGCAATGATACACTTTGTTTCTTAATCGCCGACTGCCAGATATACACACAGTTCGATGTCGGTCCGACATTTTTCATTTAGTCGATGCGAGTGAAGCACATATTATATGTATACTCATCTCTCTCTATATATATATACACATTATTAATATACACCATTACAGCATACGTATAGCAATGTACAGCGTATGAACAAAAGGAGTTTGAAATTGGGAAAATTTATTTCTCAGCTCACGGGCGAGCTCTGTGATAATTTCACGTTGTCGGTAGCGAAGTTTAGGGATAGATAGCAAAGATAGGAGAGTGCTGTTAGAAATGGTAAAAAGTCGTCTGACATTTAAAGATCTTTATTTCAACAGTAACAAAGTGCGACAACAGTTACTGTTGAGATGCAGATGTTTAAGAGAATTGACGAGTTTTTATGTATTTTCCGCCGCGCACACAGACATGTATATAATACACACACGGACTCTCGGATCCTCCCTCGGCTCTCTCGCGACGAGATGTTTTCTCTCTTTCACTCTGGACGTAGGTATAAAAAGATAATCTCAATGAATCTCTTTTAAATACCACTGTATTTCTCTTCTGCCGCGGCGAATGTGTGTACAGAAAATTACTATGCGAATTATCTAAGCGAGGATTCGTAGTTATCACGTTTTGTACAATATATTTATATATATATATTTATTTATATATATATATATATATTTATATTTATATATGTATAATAATGTGAGATGAGACGATGATAGTAATAATAATGATAATAATTAATTCATCGACAATGACAATCGGTGAAGAAGATTGACGAGTGGCGACGCGTGGACAATGGACAAATGTGACGAATGACAATCAATGACAAGAGAATAAATTTTTCGAATACGCGTTTTCTAAAACACGTTCTCTCTCTCTTTCCTCGCAACGCACGCGCACGCTTCCTTTTGTCTCGTCTCTGTTTCTCTCGCTTTGTCTCGCCTTCCCCCCCCTCTCTCTCTCTCTCTCTCTCTCTCTCTCTCTCTCATTACTAGCTGCAGCTCTTTGGCTTGTGTACATTTGTGACTGATTGTACGCAATATAAATTATTAACGTTACTATTATTACTACTCAGTTACGCGCTCACGCTGTCCCTCTCGCGAGTCTTTGGACTTAATCGTTGTCTCTCGAACAGCCCGGAACGGAAAAGACGTCGGCGGCCGCCGCGACTCGATCGGTTCCACCCGCAGGAAAAATCGCAGGCTCTCACATTTATAATCCCTTACGCGAGAGCCGCGGAGCGACGATTAATTACGCGCAAAAAACGTCGGACGCTCTTTCCCTATTACTTTATCAAACAGCAGTTCACTGGCGCGCTCCCTCGTCAAATTTCACGACGCGGCCATGTTCGCTGGCCCCGATTATTATGCGAAACAACACATACAGAGAGCTGATAAACCGACGCCGCTAATTTATTCGTAGACGCAGGACTACGCAGTTTGTCCCTGCGCTTTCTCATCGCCGCTCACCGACCGCGCGCGTTCCTGTCGTACGTGATAATTATTTTTGTCACTTTGGAACTCTCGCGGACGCACCCTCGACCGCGTTCCGCGCGCGCTTCGGCGTTACGTCGGAACGGAATTTCAAAACGCGATCTGTTCAAAATGCAGCGAGAAGACAAAGGAAAAGAAACCAACGAAGAACGCCACAGATTACCGAAGCTGCGATTTGGAAGAATCGCAGCGCCGTTCGGTGTTTAACCGAAGAGACGCGCAACACGAGTCAAGTTCTCCACGAGGTGGGCGATTCCCGTTCCGCGAATTAACCCGCGGTGAGCGGACTCAACAATAATCGCGCTAATAACAATCCTAATAATAATGACACGGCGCGTCATAATAATTTAACGGCGAAATTTCAGAAAATATCCCGGGTACGGTGCGGCGGAGTCTCGCCGAAATTGTCGGCCGCCGCAGGTGCTGCCGGGGCCGCAGGTGCGTCTGCGATGATGCGGCGGTGGCGGCGGCGTATTACAAGGCTGGCTAATTAAAAACGACGACCAAGTGACGAACGGACACGGCGCGAAGGCTCTGCGGGCGCGCATACGGGCGGTCCTTCGCTTTCACCAATAAATAATGCTCAATGACAGTGACACGCGCAATGTGTAAAACTTAACGGCTCGCGTTTCTCGGTCGTGATCGCTTAATCATTCGATCGAGGATCGCGCAGTCGGGGAACTGAAGGAAGTAGAAGAAGGGGAAGGATGAAAAGCACAACAGCGGCGGTGCGGGCTGAAGCACGCGTTTTTACCGCCGCATTGGTCCCGCGATCTACCATTTTTCTCACGCTCATTCTCACTTTCTCTCTCCCTCTGTCACTCGATACTCGAAACGCATTGAAACGCAACAACTGAGACCTCGAGAGGTCTCCGCGGAGGAAGGAGATCGGTTGAATAAAAAAAAAAAAAAGCCACACGCGTTTCGGGCTCGAGAAAAATTAAATTAGCATCTGTCTCTTAGAACCGAATTTGATTCATAAGAACCAGAAATTCTGTTTCCTTCGTTCGTTAAGGCTGCGTCCTCATAGCCACCCAGACGACGGTAGACTATAAATCTTTCGTCAATTTCATTTTTTTTTTTTTTATAGGAATGATCAACGGTGATGGAGGATTGGCGGAGTCTCGTTTGTCGTCGAGATGGATAGTGAGAATCCAGCTTAATTCGACCAATTTTTTTCCCGTGCATCGACGTCGGCTCGGTTGACGCGCGATCATGGCGGAACACGGCCCCTACTTTTTCTCTCCTCTTCGTCGCTGGTTTACACATCATAAATAATAACAGATATATTATGTACACACAACGGGATAAATAAATTAATCGTCGCGTCATTATTATGCGCCGCGATTGCTTCGGACTCGCGGATATCGATGCATAACGGATTTATGAGCAGCCGCGGCTCCGAGAGATCGTGCCGAGAGCGCGACGTGTCCGACGACCCGTTGGCTCGCCATTTTGCGTGAATGCGCCGCGGAGAAGAGAAGGAAAGAAGAATAAGTGAATCTGTTTCGTGTGAGATCGACTCCACGCTGTGGAAAAAACGCAACGCACGAAACGGAATCCCGATGTTCCGGAGGAACGAAACTGGAGAGAAAATCGCTTGCGCAAGCTACTTCGTTGCTCTCGTCAAGGCCATCAAAACTCATATTTAAGGGGACTGGAGGGTCAG